CCACAATGCAAACATTTGTATGCATATGACAGTTTTTACAATGCATTAAGCATGTTTTTCAAGATAACATGAAAGATTCTGAAAAATAAGAAAAATATCTGCATTTTAAAGATCAGTGTTTTTAAACATCCCACCGTGAGTACTGATAAAAAAAAACAAGACAAGATACTTCGTGACCAACCTTTTTGTAATAGAATCATGACACTGTACCATTCGTGTGGGGTGGGTCACTTCTTGCTAATAATTACATTTATTGTTATTATTATTGTTGTTGTCGCATTTAATGTAAATGCACTTAAGTTTTCTTTTTACAGGAGCAGATTTCAGAAATAGAAAGTGCTGTAAGGAATCTGCTTAGCTGCATCCAAAAGCATAGCAATCCTCAAGCACAGGGGAATTCCAACAGTTCTCCCACCTCAACCTGGTACCAGTGCTTCCTTTGGGGTTGGCCAGGCTGTCAGTAGGCCAAACACAGTTCAACAAGAAATGTAAGGAAGGTAAGGAATTGTGTACCCAAAGCCCCCTTCTTAGTCAAGTGTTCATATTTATATACTTTCATTCAAATTAGCAAGCTCTCGAGTTTTGCTACTGTTTTACCTTCATACGGTACAGGTATGTCTAATGTTTATAAAGCCTGGAAACTATAGCTATTAAAGACAGTTTACTGTTGCTCGTAAAACAAACTGAAGAGACATACTTGAATTTCTAAAGAGTGGTGTGGTGTGTCGTATAGTCTGTCACACTTGTTTAAGACGGATAACTACGAATAACAAAACATAAATTTATGAGTAACGGTGTAAATTATAATGCTATTATAAAACCTACTGTTACTCATGACACAAACATTAAAGCCTGGTTTTAAAAATGGTCAAATGTCCACAGAGAAGTGGTTCGCGTGATCTGTCACGAGCTTCGAGACACTGTGCAAACGGTTGATAACGAAGGGATTCCGGCGCTGTTAAATATGATGGTTAAACTTGGAAATTATTCGTTTTGATCGATGAGCTGGTGGTGAAGCATTAAAAAACATAGCACCAGTTTTGCAGGCAGAAATGGTGAAAACACTGACTGCAGCTGGTCTCATTTTGCATTTAATGTAGGTAACTTCTCTAGCCAGAGCAATGGATTGTGCCAAGAAAACCAAACTGGTGCTGCTGTCTTGTGGCTCCTACAACCCAGTCACAAACATGCACTTGCGCATGTTTGAACTGGCACGTGAGCACCTGCAGATCAAAGGTACTCCGCCTGCTAGCCTTCATACACGGCGCACTGGCCTGTCATAAGCTACTAACAAAATGCTTATGCCTACCTGTTTTTTTTTAGTTGTAAATAGTTGTAATTTTTAATGGGAACATTAAGTGTGACATACCCAGCCTCTTTACTGGTTCATAGCGCTGTGTTAACTTTTAGCTCCACAAAGTTTAAATGTGAAACTTACTTTGTTAAAAAGTATGAACCATACTCAACATAGGACACCTGTGCTGTGCTTGGCTTCCCCAGGACATTATGAAGTTGTTAAGGGGATCATATCACCAGTGGGCGATGGCTACAACGAGAAGGGCCTGATCGAGGCCAGCCATCGGGTGGAAATGGCCAAGCTGGCGGTAGAGAGCTCCAGCTGGATCGAGGTGGACAGCTGGGAGGGCAGGCAGGCCGACTGGCAGGAGACAAACAAAGTCCTACGGTGAGCTCAGTGCACCATTATAGAAGTTAGCCTTAACTAGCATTAAAGGGAGACTTGTGATTACCCATCTGTTAGCTGCCTAGCCACAATAAACATGAAGCATGAAGCGATTCATCATTAATGGATGGAAGTATAAATGGGTGAAAGCACCTACTGGATTAAACATAAACACATCATACCAGACACAAGAAGCAGTTCGTATGAGTTGTTCTGGTACATCTGAATGACCCTGTAATTTGGACTTGTAATTGTAGTATTTAACTTGTCATTTTACAGGCTTTGTGGTCACTTTATTTATCTATTTTATTTAGGAGGAACTCAAAAGTGACGTACGGTGTATATAAAAAGTATGTACACCCCTGTTAGAATGTCAGGCTTTTGTCACGTGAAAAAAATTAGACAAAACCACGAATTAATCATTTCAACACTTTTCCTACTTTTATTTTTGACCTATAACCTGTACAATTCAATTGAAAAAGAAACAAATCTGTTAGGGGTAAAAAAAAAAAAAGTAAAAAACATACAATAAGCTGGTTGTATACTGTAAGTGCGCACCCCCTTAAACTAATAGTTTTTTGAAGCACCTTTTGATTTAATTACAGCATTCAGTCTTTTTGGGTAGGAGTCTGTCAGCAAGCCACATCTTGACTTGGCAATATTTGCCCACTCTTCCTTGCAAAAGTTCAGCAGATCTGTCAGATTGTGAGGGCATCTCTTATGCACATCCCTTTTCAGTGTTCTTCAGTAAGCCTCTTGGAAGCCAGTCTTTTCATCAATTTTGGAGGGATGTCCAGCTCTCGGTATCAGAGTCACCCAAAAAGACTGAATCAGGAATGCACCCAAAAAGACTGAATGCTGGAATTAAATCAAAAGGTGCTTCAGCAAAGTATCAGTCTAAGGGTGTGCACACTTATGCAACCAGCTATTTTATACCTTTTATATTTTCCCCTTTAACAGATGTTTGTTTTTTTTTTTAGTTGAATTGTACAGATTATAGGTCACATTAAAGGTGGGAAAAATTTGGTTTATTTTTTTTTTCTCATCACAAAAACCATTTTAACTGGGGGGTGTATAATTTTTGTATTCACTGTACAGCAAGGCAGAAAATACAGTTGTATTTGCCCATTATAAAAAACATTTGGTCCTTTTAAGCTACTTGGGAACCAAATAGAATCAGAATCAGTTTTTACTGGTCAAGTAAGGTCCACAGAGACAAGACAGGAACTTGCATAAAGGCTGGATATAGCATAAAAAGTGGGATTTCTGAATGATTGTGCAGCAAACAGCATATAACAAAATGAGCAGTAATACAGGTTGTAATATAATGAGCTATGAATTGCATTTTCAGACTATGATTGGGCTGGTGAAGATCGCTTACAAGCAGTCCATAAAATAAAGCTGATATTAGAAATCTTAACGGGAATAGAATGTTGTGAACCAAAGTAGTACTACTCGGGCACCACCGTAGAAGTGTGGTGCTGTGCATGTGCCGATGTGTGAGGTACAACCAGTACTGCCATGTGAAATCACGTCGGAGATGACAGACACGAGCAGGACACTCTACTCA